GGGGGGGCGGCGGCGCGCATGCGCAGTCGCGACGGCGCGGCCGGAGCCCGCGAAACGTCCGGAGCGGACGCGAGGGCGACGTCGGCCGGTTAGCGAGTGGGTAGCAATCCGCCGAGGGGCGGCAAGAAGGTGCAGCGGGTGGCGGGCCTAGGGTGGCAGGCTGGAGTCCAGCACATCCGGCTTCCGGCCTAGCGAGCCCCCCCTCCCTTGTTTTTGGGGAATTCCGCTGGAGCCTCGCTTCCTTCTCCGGAGCCCGCCGGGCACCCAAACCCACTGGCATCGAGGTGGTTCCAACTCCTGGCAACCTTATAGGGCAGGGTAGTGTCGGTTTCCGAAACTGACTCTTTTGGGGAGCAGAATGCCATGGGGAGGCTGGCGTGTTGGAAATGCTGGCTTTGAGGTTAGCAGCCCAACCCATAACCATGATACCACCAGGACCCCCAATTCCACCCCCTTCCGCCTCCCTCAAATAAAAAAAAGTCTGCTTGCAGCGGGCAGGGCCGCGGCTCCAAGCTCAGCGCAGACCAATCAAAGGGACGTTATTCGGGTAACGCTTCGGCCCCTTTTGCCGTCGGATGATTCCAGATGCTCTGCCCTTCTCCCCGGCCTCGGGCTGGTCGGACAGGTCCCGGGAGCCGCGGAGGGAGGATGCCTCGCCGCCTCGTGCCAGATCCCGGGTGGGAGGCGTTTTGGTGCCCTTCCCTGGGGCGTGACGGTGCACCTTTCCGCTTGGCGCAGGAGCGATCACGAGGTGATCCCATGCCCGGGGGGCTCTCCAGCCTGATACCCTATTGGGTCTGGCGAGTTCTAGAAACCCTGTTTTTTGGGGGGGAGGGCGAGGGGAGAGGGGGAAGGAGGGATTATCTATCAGAGGCTGTACCCTTCCAAACCGGATTCGAGATGTTGGCTCTGGCCACCTACTGTGCCCTTGGGCAAATCTTTTCATTTTTTTCAGACTTCATGTATGTTCCGGGATTGTTAGAATAGAATACGATTATCGATGAAAAGTACTTAAAGCCGTTCTTAGCATGCAGTGAGTGCTCAAAAAATGTTATTAGTATTACCATTTTGTAGTGTGCTTAAACTACCCACTAAACCGGCTGCCACCCAGTCGATTCCTAGCGACCCTATAGGACAGAGAAAAACTACTTTTAGGGTTTCCAAGACTAAACCCTTAAAGGAGCAGGCAACCTTGTCTTTCTTTCCCAGAGGGGCTAATGGTTTTGAACCACGGACCTTGAGGTTAGCAACCCAACGCCTAATCCATAGCATTACTAGAGCTCTTTGCATGAAGCTAGACCAGGATAAACTCACTGGTATTCCAGGAACAGCAAGTGGACCGACCCACAGTGGAAAGAGGCTTGCTGTGTTCTGGCTCTTAAAATATGACAGCGGGAAGACGGAGGTCTAAAACAGCAAGTGGTCGGGATGTCGGTCAATGGCTAACAGTCCGGTGAGACAACATGTCTAGAGGTTGTTGGGCAGAAAGCTGGTTTGCCCTGTACACCTTCACCCAGTTCACCATGAAAAGTGAAAATCAAATAAATGAAACACCACACCCTGGTCTAGGGCTGCCTTACTTCCGCCATGCCCAGCCCTACCTCAGGGCCCTTGCCCTAGCTGATGCCTGTGCCCTCCAGCGCCTCCGTCCTGCCTAGCACTGCCATTGATTCAATTGTGACTCACAGAGACCCTATAGGACAGGGTAGGACTGCCCCCACCCCCGGCCACCCTCCTGGGTTTCCAAGATTGTAACTCGGAGTAGAAAGCCTCGTCTTTTTCCTGTGGTTTTGAAATGCTGATCTTGCAGTTAACATCCCAAGACTCAACTTACTACATCATGGGCACTCTTACATACACTCGGTTTCAGCTAAATGTTTCTGCCACAAGAGACCCCCTTGCTCACACCATCCATGCTGATAAACTGCATCCTGTGTATATTTTATATATGTATACACATATGCACGTGTGTGTAGTGACTCCATCGGAACGTATATTCTGTTCAGACAATCTGTTCACCTCTGTCCTCAACATTCAGTACGAGCATGGAACCCACCCCCTGTGCCATCCAAAGGATTGACTCACAAGGGAAAGAGTTGAGCAGGTGGTCCAAACAGCTGAGTGCTTCCATCAGTGGGCCACCAGGGCTCCGTAGCTAGGTACTTAGCCATCCATTCATGCAGAAATAAACATACAGTGAACCCTCGTTTATCGCGGTTAATCGGTTCTAGACCCTACCGTGATAAATGAAATTCCGTGAAGTAGGATTCCTTATTTGTAAATCAAATATTTTCTTAGTTAGAGCATAGAGGACATGAAAAAACACCCTTTAGTCACCATTACACTCGTATTACCCAATTTATTAAACGAAAAAGGGAAAATACAGTAAAACATTTTAGACGTTACAATGATCATTTATTATTTATTATATTATTTATGGCATCAAGCGTGTACAGTATGAGCCAATCAGTGGCAGTAATGAGAGCATGCGCTGTGACGCAAAAACCGCGATAGAGTGAAGCCGCGGAAGTCGAAGCGCAAAGTGGCGAGGGTTCACTGTACCTACATGTGTCCATGTGCACATAGACAACGTGCACACACACAGCTCAAATCCAAACGAAACCCCCTGCTGTGGAGCTGAGTTCATGGCGACCCTATGGGACAGAGCAGAACTGCGCCATAGGCTGTAAATCTTTTCGGGAACAGACAGCCAGTCTTCCTCCCTCCTGAGGAGCAGCTGGCGAGTCTGACCTGCAAGTGGTACAACGCTGAGCCGGCAGCCCCGCCAGAGCTCCGAGGCATGGAACCCACTCCCACCGAGTCCATTCCATCTCACCACAGTCCCATCTCGGCAGGTTTCTGAGATTGCACGTCTTTACGGGAGCAGAGAGCCTCGTCTTTTCTGGAAGTGACAGAAACTGCTTCAGGGTTTCCGATACTGTGTGTTTGGGCCGGGTCCGGACCAAAGCAGCCCCTTGTACCAGCTTCTCGAGAAGACAGATGACCTGGCTGAATTCCAAAGCACCTGAACTTCAAAGCACCTGCCTTCAGCATTTCACAGAGCTTACCTCCCTGGACAGAACACAGCCCCCCTCTCCCTAGCATTGTTTCCTAGGAACAGCATGATTTACTGACAGGACGTCACCTGGCCCGAAACTTTCAACCTCAGCACAAAGAACCTTCCTTCCCCTTACCAGCCCTTATGCCTTTAAGCTCTTGCCCTAAGGTGACCAGATGTCCCGCTTTTGGTGGGACAGTCCCGATTTTTAACAATTTGTCCTGCGTCCCGTGGCGTTTTCAAAAAGTCCCGATTTTTGCAAAGAATGCACGACAAGCTAGGGAACGGCAGGAGAACGGGAAGGGAATATACGGTTTTCGCCTGCCATGTGACTATTTCGCCAGGATATGAGTTTTATATTATTTTTGTTAATTTTATAATGTTAAACTTTAATAATAACAATTGTTGAGACCTGATTATCGAGAACTGCTTATCAAAATTCGCATTGTTGATCAGTTGTTAGAATTCGACCACCATTGTTTGGACTTAATGAACAATGGCATTTTTTGGCATTGGCAACGACCAAAACATTTTGCAACTGTCTCTCGGATGATACACATCGTACTGGGTGCTAATGCTAGTTAAACAAGTGATGTCAACAAATCAGCTATTCAGATAATTTAGGGAAGTAAATGGTGTCCCGCTTTACCAATGTTAAAGTCTGGTCACCTTACTATATATGTCCGGCTGCCCCAATACCAGGTGTGACTTCCCTGACCCAACTCGTTGGGTTGCAGAACCTGCCCGGGAGCTCAAGATGCCCCGTCCCTTTCTCTGCTCTCCCTTCCCTCCCCGGAGTTCTCTCCGTGCCTCCATAAAATCTTTCTCAACTTCACATTCCTGGCGAAATCCTCTCTCTGTTCCTCGCCTCCATCTCCAACCTTTCACTGTATAAGGGTTTTTCCTTTCTCTCTCTTTAAAGGAAAAGTCGACCGTGGATCAGGTGGAGACTTGACATTTCAGACATCAACTCTGCATTCAACAGTCCAAACCATTCATCAATACCTGCCCCCCACCATGGTACAAGGTTTTAAATTGTTGTTTGTTTTTACCATTAAAAAAAAATGTGATCAACCTATGCCCGCCCCACTCCCAGGGGGATGGACAACAGAAAACTGGGTGAAGGGAGACAGCAGTCAGTGTAAGATATGGAAAAGTTTTTTTATAAATATCAAGGGTTTATGGGGAAGGGTGAGGGAGGGAAAAACGAGGAGCTGATACCAAGGGCTCAAGTAGAAAAAAATGTTTTGAAAATGATGATGGCAACATGTGTACAGATGCGCTTGACACAATGGGTGGATGCATGGATTGTGATAGCTGTAGGATCCCTCAATAAAAGAAAATGTGAGGGTGGAGGGAAGGTGAGGGAGAAAGGGGGAACAGATGACAAGGATCTATATATAACCTCCTCCCTGGAGGACGAACAGCCAAGTGGGTGAAGGGAGATGTTGGATGGTGTAAGATATGACAAAATAATAATTTATAAATTACCAAGGGTTCATAGGGGAGATGGAAGCAGAGAGGGAGGGGAAAATGAGCTGATACCAAGGGCTCAAGTAGAAAGCAAATGTTTTGAGAATGATGAGGGAAACAAATGTACAAAAGTGCTTGACACAATGGATGTGTGTGTGGATTGTGATAAGAGTTGTACGAGCCCCCAATAAAATGATTTTTTAAAAAGATGAAAAAGAATAAAGAGAAAACATAACTGCCAAAAGAAAAGAAAATTTCAAAAAGGAAAGCAAATGTCTAGAAATTAGTGATAGCAACATGTTTACAGATGTGCTTGATACGATTGATGTTTGGATTATTATAAGAGCTGTAGGAACCCTCAATAAAATGATTTTTCAAAATGTAACAAGTTTCAAATGCACACAAAATAAGAGGGAGGGAGGGAGAGAGGGAGGGAAGGTAATAACTAACTCCCATATCCACACCACCCAGATTCAGCACAGCCAGCAACCCAGTGCTCCATTTTGAACTAAGATTAATTTGGACCCCTGCCCCCCACCAGACATTTCATGCAGACACACTTCAGTCTGTGTCTCTAAGAGATAAAGACTCCCTTCTTTTGCATGTAACTACACCACCATCATCAAGCCTTTACACACTCGCCATCATAGTCTTCACGTTATCACATGTGGATGCAGAAGGGCTTTCCCCCAGGTTGTCCCCAAATAGGTGCCAAACCTAAGACACTGCTGCTGGCTACACATGGGAAAGGACTGTACGCTTGGAGGTCAACGCAAGCTGCTCAGAGGTGATCTCCCTGAGGGTTATCAGCCATCTAGAGCAATCAGACTGTATAATCTGTCCCACCCTCAGTAGGGCCCACTCCCTTCTGATAAGGATGGTGGATTACTTCCTGAAGGAGAGCCCAGAGTCAAGGTCAAGGCCACTTAAGGATGACCAAGGTTAGACTGTCATCTTGAATCTGCCCATCTTGTCAGATGTGTACCCCTAATCCCTCCCCTCCCTATCACATGTACACCCCTAGTTCATCCCCTTCCTGTGGTGGGTATGCCTATTGTACAACCCCTTCCTGTGACATGTGGTTACCTGTAATCAGGGGGGCTTGCACGCCCCTCAGTATATATAGGCCATGGTCAGAAATAAAGGGGGTCTCTCCTCCTCTCCTCCCACTCTCTGCCTGAACCTGACTGCTGAGATCATGGCTGTCCTGGAGGTGAGCGTGCTACCATGAAATGTGTCTGACTCCGTTATTTATCTTCTCTACTACCTTCCCTATTCTCTGACTTTACCATAGTCTTTAGATATCATTGCCGTACAATTGCGTCTACAGACCTCCCACGATTGTCAGAGGCTGGTTACTCTAACAATCACACATCCTTCCGGGTGTTCACATTCAGAACAACTCCCTTTGTTTTTCCTCTTCCAAGCACAACGTTCCAGTTTAACTCGAGCACACAGCAGAGCAGAGAGAATAATAGAACAGACTCTGTTGCCGAGTTGACCATCGACCAGCTTCACTCAGGACCTGGTGGCATACTGGTTCCGAGTGGGGCTCCTAACCACAAGATCAATGGTTCAAAGCCACCCGCAGGCTGTTAGAGCTCTCTGTAGCTAAATATACCTCGGTCCTTGGCCACGCGCGAGAAAGAATTCATGCCGAAGCCTGGCTCGTGATCCAAGTGAGTTTTATGAAAGTTAGAAGAAATTTCAGGTTTACACGGCACCTGAGGGACTTCTCCCCAGCATGCGGCCTGGCTGGAAACATCTCGGTGTCCCGCAAGAGTGTCCCAAAGTCCTGCCAAAGCTCTCCGCGCCAAAGTTTTTTCTCTCCCTGAAAAGACTCCAGGCTTCTACCTCTTCAAGGATTCCACAGGGAGGCGTGGTGGAAGACCCCTGATCGACCCCATTGGCTGAATTGAATTCACCTGGCCTAAGCGGGCCAATTCAAGTTCACGCCCAAACCTGAGCCTCTGGGCATGTGCAGTGGCCACTCCTTTGTTCCCTTAGCTTGGCCCTCTGGGCATGCATTAATGGACATTCCCAGCCCTTTGCTAACCTACCTAACAGCTCTTTAGGAGAAAGAGGAGGCTTTCTACTCTTAATAAAAGATTTTCAGTCTCAGAAACCCACAGGGGTCGCTCCACTCGGCCCTGTGGGGTCACTGAGTCAGAATGGAGTTGATGGCAGTGAGATTAGGGGTTGTTTGCTTGATTTACTTAGATGATTTTGAGGGCAAATGCCAGGTCCTCTGGAGCATTGTTTTTTCTCTTTCTTCATTTCCAATGGGCTTGTTTGAATCTGATCGAAACTATTAGGTTTGCTGCAAAGGTAAACTGAGGCCAGGCCATAAAGAAGGAAAAGGAGAAGTTGATTCTGTGCTTCCGGGAGAGATGCACGGGCTCCTGCCAGGAGTCCATGAAGTTGTGCAGCCCACGAGGGAGAGGGATGGGAGCCCTGAGCTGCCGGGCAAGGTTCACAGACCCCCAGTGGGGCACCTGAGAAGTCAAGCCTATCTGCTGTGGAGAGCAAGTTTTCAACTGGTCAGGATGGTAAACAAGAAGGGAGGGGGTAGTAGAGGCTGCAGGTGGGCAAACAAGGGGGGAGGGGGGAGGAGCTGCAGCTGAGGGGCTCAAGTCTTCTCCATCCATGAAATTTTGAGGTAGGGTGGTGTTTTGTTCAGCCGAGAAGGCTCATTGTCCTAGAACCCTTTTGAAACTAGCCGCCTGGGTCTGATAAGGGCAGGTCAGGCTGTTCCTAATGTCCCCCGACCAGTACCTGACCCCACAGAAACTAGTGTAGACATTCCATTTGTTCAATGAGAATCTTTAGGACCTATTTTTTCTCCTCTCTTACCTTGCTCTGCAACCTGAAAAATGGGTTGTAGGAGGCGACCGAGGGTTAAAAACAAACGTACACCACCAAGCAAACAAGGATCTCCATATAACCTCCCTGGGGGATGGACAACAGAAAAGTGGGTGAAGAGAGATGTCAGACAGTGTAAGACATGAGAAAATAATACTAATTTACAAATTGTCAAGGGTTCATGGGGGAGATGGGAGCAGAGAGGGAGGGGAGAAAATGAGGAGCTGATACCAAGGGCTCAAGCAGAAAACAAATGTTTTGAGAATGCTGAGGGCAACAAATGTACAAATGTGCATGACATAATGGATGCATGTATGGATTGTGATAAGAGTTGTACAAGCCCCCAATAAAATGATTTAAAAAAACCTTTATATACAAGAGCAATCGAATATTGAGAAAACATCCCAGCCCAGTCCAGATCAAGTCCATAAGTCCACTAGCCCATATGTCTGACACCAATGTATACTTTCCTCTTCAAACTCACCAAACACAAGCAATGACAGCCGAATGCAGGGAGATTACAGGCCAGTGATCCAGTGGTGGTGTAAGCATTTCAGTGCTGGCGTGGGTCTCCACGTGGCTCCTCTAGCTCCAGGTCTCTAGCGTACACCCATGTGTCTTGTCATCAGGAATACGAAGCAGAGGCTGTGTCCCACTTCCAGGGAGAAAGATAGGCGTTCCCAGAATCCTCAGGGGAAAGATATGCCCGAACAGAGACCACATTGGCTATGATCTGATTGACAGACTAGACTCCACCCCTTCACTCAAGTTGACAGGAGCTGATGTAACTGCCACATGATGAGTTGGAACAGGCTCAATGGCAGTGAGGATTTGTTTTTGTTTTTCAGTTGTTAACCGCTGTCTAATAGGTCCCGGCTCTTAGCGACCGTAGGTGCCACAGACCAGAACCCTGTCCAGTCCTGCGCCAACCTCACCATCGTTGCTGTGCTTGGTCCTTTGTTACAGCCACTCCGTCAATCCATCTGGTTGAGGGCCTTCCTCTTGGCTGCACATCTCCTCCAGGGACTGGTCTGTCCTGATGGCAGATCCAAAGGACGGGAGAGGAAGTCACCATCCTCGCTTCCCAGGAGCATCCTGGTGGTGGGTTGGAACTTCTTCCACAACAGATTGCCTGGTTCTTCTGGCAATTCATAATAGATGCATATAGATATATATTATGTATCTAAATACCTATGTATATACACGAAGTGGGTTCTGTTGTCTTCCTGGGAAGAAATAAACCTGCTAGGTAGAATGCTTACCCAATTTGGGGGTGAGCTTTGCTGGGGCCCAGCTGTGTCCGTTGAATCCAACCGTCCCTCAAAACTAGTCATTTAGAGACAAAACGGTTTTTTCTTCGTAGCAATGGCTGTGTAGCCACCTGCCAAGGGCCCTGTAGGTGTGTTGTGACCTCCGTTTGGTTTCGTACTTTTCACTTCTCTTCCAGGCTCTGATTCGCGAGAGGACGTGTGTGTGTGTGTGTGTGTGTGTGTCCGTGTCCCTCGCTCTCGGAGGAGTCCCTTTGCTGTTTCTCCAGACCCCAGAGAGTTCCAGTCGCCCACGGTCTTCTTGGTCTCTGACTTGTCCACACTGTCCACCCCTCCGGGTGCCCAGCGTCCGGCTCTCCGCCCCGCGCGCGCCGCGGCCCCTTTAAGGCGG